AAGAGGGATAACCCTAAATTTGGGCAAAGGAAGCGGGGTTCCCTGACAGGTGTCATTAAACCATTGCTTTCACCAGTTGGCTATAAAATTCTTAATTTACTAGCGATTTCCAAATCGGAGGGGTAAAGTGACTCCGGTGAGTTAAGAGAACCAATATAAGGGGCAGTTTCTTAAAAAGATGTTTTGAGTGAAATGCCTGTTATCTGAATGGGAAGGGAGAGCCCCAGATATTTTTCTTCCCATTTCCTCCCATTAGAACAGATTGCTTTCTAGATTAACCGAAGGTCATTTCAGAAATGAGACTGTGCTCTGATGGAATGGCCGAGTGGCTGTGGTCCTTAGAGCAGGTGGAGAGGAGGAGCTGGGAGGGGGAATTGCAAAAGAAATTTGGAATGGCAGACCCGATAGCCACCCTGCCTGGTAGGCACTGGCTAGTGTGTAGATGTGTTCTGGGGGAGAATGGGCAGGTGGGTGAGGCTGAGAGAAGGGGGGCAACGTAAGTGTCAACACCTGAGTAGGTGAGGGACAGGCCCAGGAAAAGAGGGGGATCATACTGAATAGAAAAGTTACCTCCACTGAAACCGGTTTGGCTCAGTGGATAGAGCGTCGGCCTGTGGACTGAAAGGTCCCAGGTTTGATTCCGGTCAAGGGCATGTACCTGGGTTGTGGGCACATGCCCCGTAGGAGATGTGCAGGAGGCAGCTGATCGATGGTTCTAACTATCTCTCTCCCTTCCTTTCTGTAAAAAAAATCAATAAAATATATATATTAAAAAAAAGTTACCTCCTAAGTCGTTTTTATTCAGAGCAGCTTTAGACCTGAACTAGAATAGCTTTTATTCTCTAGTCTTCTCTTCTACAAACTAGATTCCTTCAACTTCGGGCTCCCCCGGCCCCCCACTCTCCTTTGGGGTTTCATGTGACAGAAGAAGAGGTGGCTTCTGTGGTGGCAGTCCTGCCACAGCTCCCCTTTCTGCCCAGCTTCCCAACCAAAGGCTAGTAGTGGCTCTCCGATTCCTCTTCAATACAGCCTAGTGCCGTGGTTCTCAACCTTCTGGCCCTTTAAATACAGCTCCTCATGTTGTGACCCAACCATAAAATTTTCGTTGCTACTTCATAACTGTAATGTTGCTACTGTGATGAATCGTAATGTCAATATCTGATAGGCAGGATGGTCTTAGGTGACCCCTGGGAAAGGGTCGTTTGACCGCCAAAGGGGTCTCGACCCACAGGTTGAGAACCGCTGGTCTAGCGGTTACTAGTTAAGGCTGTAGAACTGAACTGCCTGGGTTCCGTTTCTGGCTCTACCATTTATTAGCTGCATGACTGTGGGCGAGTTGCTAAATCTTCCTGTATCTCAGGTCCCTTATGTAAAAATAGAGATGAAAATATTACCTTCCTTAGAGAGCTGTGAGGATCAAATGAACTAATAATTTAAAAGTGTATAGAACAGCCCTGGCTGCTGAATGGTTAGTGTCAGCCCAGGCACTGAAGGGTGGCGGGTTCGATTTCCGGTTGGGTATGTGCAGGAGGCAACCAATTGACGTGTCTCCTCTCTCTCTCTCTCTCTCCTTCCCTCCCTTTCGCCCTCTCTGAAAAGCCTTGGGACAATACCCTCAGGTGAGGATTCACAACCACCTGAGTTCAGAGCATTGCCTGGCAGGCTTTAAGCCCCCAGCAATGAATTCATTTAACTCCCTGGCTCCGCTCTCAAGGCGCTTCACAATCTGTCCTCTGCCCACCGTGCCCTGGTACTCCTCCACTTCCCGCCCAGGCCACCGGACTTCCGCTGGCTGCTTCACTGAGTCATGAATCTATGCTTCACTCAGGTTGCCATTGCCTGGAAGGCCCTTTCCCGACCTTCAAAGGTCTCTTCCAATCCCATCTCCTCTATACCTATTATTATTATTATTATCATTATTATTGCTGAGTCTCTCCAGCCCTCTTCCCGGCAGAACTCCCAGTGCGGTTGAATGTAGTGAGTAGCACCCGCTCCCCAGTCTCCCTAGTAGCCTGTGACCTTCCCGAGGGCAGAAGCTGTGTCTGATGCCCCTGCGCCCTCTGTGTGAGCACCTGGTCTGCCCTCGGTGTGAGCACCTGGTCTGCCCTCGGTGTGAGCACCTGGTCTGCCCTCGGTGTGAGCACCTGGTCTGCCCTCTGTGTGAGCACCCGGTCTTTGCTCACTCAGCATCTGTGGAGATTCCACCCAGGCAGCGAGGGCAGTGACCACCCACTGCTTTAACAGCGGCTTAGCTGGGGGCGGGTGATGGCTTCTTTCCTGCCTGTGCCATTCTCCAAGGGCAGAGGTTCCTTTCAACTAAGATCCAGACCCCTCCCCACTCCCCGGCCCTTCAGGTCTGAACCCAGAAACTCAAACACATCGCCCTCCGATGTTCATCAGATAAACTCCTTTCCTGAACCATTTTTCCTCGGAGGAAACCAGTGTGTTTTTATGGGTAACGATCAAGTTTTCCTCTTTCAGTTCTTTCCTGTTACTAGTCTCAACCTTTCTGTTTTCTAGGGATCTTCAGGGCCACTCTAACCTCTAAGCTGGTAGGTAGGTAGGGGTGAGCTCAGGAGCAGATGGACTGGGGCAGTTCACCGACTGGAACGGGGACCAGGAAACTGGTGGTGCAGAGTCCCTAAGGGGGTCTGGGATGCAGAAACCCCCAGAATCCTTATTCTGCGATCATTTCCACACCGCTGGCTGCAGCCTTGTCGAACTCTGGATAAAGCCATTGTTTCACGTGTCTCCCGGTCCCCACTGTTTCCTTCAGTGATTCTTTTTCAGAGAAAGGAAGGGAGAGGGAGATAGAAACATCAGTGATGAGAGAGAATCATTGATGGGCTGCCTCCTGCACAGCCCCTCCGGGGGATCGAGCCCACAACCTGGGCCTGTGCTCTTGACGGGAATCGAACCCTGGACCCTTCAGTCCGCAGGCCAATGTTCTATCCACTGAGCGGAACCGGTCAGGGCCCCGCAGCGATTCTTTCTGCTCATCCCTGCCAATCTCTATCCCCAAGTCATGTCCAACCCAACCCAGGGCCCAGGGCCTAGTTGTGAGCGCAAAGCCACAGACCCAAGAGGCCGGGGAGCAGCGGGGCTGGGAGGGCGGCGGGGGCCAGGGGGGCGCCGGCGTCGGAGGGGAAGAGGTGCAGCTTCTCCAGGTCCGGCAGGAAAGCGCGGGCGTCCTCCAGCGCAGCTCCATCCGGTTTATGCACTCTAGGACGCTTATTCTGAATTCTTTTTCTGTCATGTTGCATGCCTCTGTATTACTTAGCTGCTTTTCTGGAGAGTCCTCCTTCTCTTTCCTTTGGGGGTTTCTTTGTCTACCCATGTTTGATCTCACTGACATATCTAGACGTTGAGTC